GCAAAAAATCTCCAAATGCTGCTTTATCTCATCTGGCAAGGATGACTACCTATCTTGCTTTTGACGGCAACTTGATTATGCCAATGTGATTTTGAGAAATATTAATCACCTCCATTATCTTTGGGACACAGTGACTACTACACTAATGATATGTTTTGAATATCTGAAGAGCAGGAATAGTAGCTATTCTAGATAATGTTAGTAAGAAACATGCAAATTGTTGTGTGGGTAATATCTCTCACTAACCTACAGAAGCTTGTGACCTTAGGGAAGATTTTCGGAAGGTCCAGTGGTCTAGGTTGAGATGTCTCCTCCAAAGTGAAGGATGAACTGTTGCACCTTATGCCACTTCCTATAGGAAAGAGAGATACAATGCTTGATGGCCCTCTTTATGGAAGCAACATTTGTCCCATTCGCCTGTGCTTCTCAGACTGGGTGACTCAATGGGTGCTAATTTTGAGGAGAGGCCCAGAGGCAGAAGAGACTTTCCATGTGGCTCAGGCTGTGGTGCAATCTGTCCTGCCACCTACGACTCCGTGGATCCAATTGGTGCTCCAATGGCAGATTGGAGAGATGTATGGTGCTTGTGACAAGCCGTGTTAGGAGAATCACAGTTGTCAGCCATTAGTGTTTGGAGCAAACACACACCTTCTTTGTCAAACAGCTATTTTCCTTGGCTCGCTACTGCACCATTGAAGAGATTGAATGCGTGATCCATGCAGTCTGAGCTGTCCTCTTGAGCTGGATGTTATTTTGATCCGTTAAGCCACCAAGTCAGGTTCAGCAAAAGACCCAACTACACTGAAGAGTCTCAGTATTCAGGAGGACAGGTTAACATGCCCCATGGATGTAAGTCAACTTCTCTCCCCAGCTGGCCCACTGCTTATTCAATGGATTTATGGACACAGTGACCGTGCATGCAGAGACTGAGACCACCCATGTTTTTAACAATCCAGACTTCCCCTCTCAAGGCTAACCTGACTCCTTACTAGCATTTACTAACCTACTATGAGTTCTTTCTAAAGGTACCAGATTCAGCCGCCTGGAAGCAGATTATATAGATTGGACTTCTTTACTCATGGAGGGGATCAGCAATTTGTCCTCACTGGAATAGACAATGCTTCGGAACTTGGATTTACTTTTTTTGCCCAGCTATCATCCTTGGGCTTTCCAAATGCCTTGTTCATCATCATGGTATCCTATACAGTATCACTTCTGACCAAGGTCTCACTTTACACCAGAAAAAGAAATGCAGTGGGTTAATTTCTGTCCCTCAGTAGCAGCTGGCCTTATAGAATAGTGGAATGACTAATTGTTGACTTAGTTATAGCGCCTGCTGAAAGACACATCTGTAAAGACAGTATGACTGTCCTATAGCACATAGAATATCTTCTGAACTCAAGGCCAATGTACGGTGCTGCTTCTCCTGAAGCCAGGATACATGGCTATAGATCCAAGAGGATGGCATCTCTCATGAATACACCCAATGACCCACTTGCAAATTTTTTTGTTTCTGTTCCCTTTACCTCTGGGCTCTGCTAGTTTGAAGGTCTTAGCAATCAGCAAGGAATTCTTCCACCAGGGGAAATCAATCATAGTTCCCTTAAGATTGAAACTGAGACCCTGGCTATTTCAGACTCCCTGTGCCAGTGGGTAAGAGTGCAAAAAGAGCGTGATGGTTGTGACAATCAGGGGATGCAAGGTTGCTGTTATATGATGGGCAAAAGAGGCCAATATGGGACTTCCCTGGTGGCACAGCGGTTAAGAATCCTCCTGCCAATGCAGGGGACACGGGTTCGAGCCCTGGTCCAGGAAGATCCCACATGCCGCGGAGCAACAAAGCCCGTGCTGCACAACTACTGAGCCCAAGTGACACAACTACTGAAGCCCTTGTACCTAGAGCCCACGCTCCACAACAAGAGAAGCCACCGAAATGAGAAGCCTGTGCACCACATCGAAGAGTAGCCCCCGCTCACTGCAACTAGAGAAAGCCAGTGTGCAGCAACGAAAACCCAACACAGCCAAAAATAAATAAATAAATAAATTTATTAAAAAATATACAAGAGGCCAATAGATAGAATCCAGCCATGGTGGTGCCTCATGTTACTGGCATGTCCAGTGAAAAACAATTTTTTGTTAAAAAATTAACATACTCAGATCCCTCAGACCTAAGGGTTATCCCCTGATTAGCTAAGATTCTTGATAAAGGGAAAAGGGGATTTGTAATGTGCATTAAAGAGCGGAGTCATAAACTGATATAATGATATACCAGTTAAAGCCTTGCGACCAACTGCAAAAATAAGAACTCTAACTTCTACTTATATTTTCTTCCTTGCTGTGTTTGTATATTTATATCTATTTTAACTAATTATCCTTTACTTTTAACTTTCTTCTATTTTATGTAGGATAACTTAGTGAAAGATATCATAACAATTTAATCTTTGTGATCAGAATATTGAGATGGGACTGTGGCAGAATTAAAGGAGGAATTACTATCACCCAGAGGTCCTGGACTTCAAGCTGGACGCAGAAAATGATCCTTCAGTGTGACCCCTTTGGAGGAAGGAGTGAAGGTAGTTTTCAATTGTATAAGAAATGTTGCATTATATCAAGTGGGAGCATTTTTATTTTATATAGTTTTTATTTTCAGAATTGTAAGAATAGTGAGAAGCACATTTGATGCTGGGGGGTGTCAAGGGACAGACTATTGTCGACATTTGACATTTTGGGGGGCTGCTTTGGAAGTATGGTGAAGACTGCTAGTTCCTCCCCAAATCCATCTCCCCTTCATCCATAATAACAGAACCTTGACCTTTAGCTGTGCATATTGCCATATGGAATAAAAATTACATTTCCCAGTCTCTCTTGTAGCTATCTTATTAAGGTAACTAAGTTCTACCAATGAGTAGCAGATGCATTGTGTGCTATTTCTGGGAAGGCTCCTTGAACTAGAGAGAACAGGTGCCCTTTAGTCCTTCCCTGTTCCTCCTAATGCCATCCTGACATTAGGCGGATGCAATGGTTGCAGAGCCAGCAGTCATCCTGGATCATAAGGTTGTCTTGTAACTAGAGGTCTTGCATGGTGGAGAAATATCAGAGCACGGGCCTTTGATGACACTATTCTTTCAGTAAAATAAAATATAAACAGGTATTTTTTTGATTGTCCAGGCAAGCACAGGGAAGACCAATATAAGCAAGGCATGTTTCTATACTAAGGAAACTTATAAACAAGTGGGGTGAGTGACAATTATGCAAGGATGCTCTGTAAGCACACAGGTAGTGCACCTAAACTAATACTGAGTGGATGATGGTGTGGTCTGGGAAGTCTTTCTGGAGGAAGTAACCCCCTTACAAATGAATGGGATTTGGCCAATTGTTGGAAGAAGTGGTTGGAAGAGTTTCCTTGGCAACAGGAGTTAAGGGGTGTTAACACTCATTAACACCTCAAGCGACAAGTCCGGGAGGTCAGCTAGGATAGGAGTTTGGACTTTATCCTCAGAACAATGAGGGGCAAGTGAGAGAGGGAAAGGATAGAGGAACTAGAAAGGAGCGTGACACGAAAGGCACACCTGGCCCTGATGAAGCACCTGAAATGTATTAGGAGGGTGTAAGCACTAAATAATTTGTTGGAAAAGCAGCGCTGGTCCAGGCTCCACCGTGGGGGAGGACGGGTTCGTTTAAGGAAAGAGAACACACAATTAGGCACGAAGTTGACTATTAACTTGAGATGAAAAAATAAATCGCAAGATACTACTGGAGTTTTGGAGATTTCGGGTCCCTTTCTTTTGTTTACCCGAACTGCCTGCCTAGAAGTGCTCCCAGACGGCAGCTTGGCCAGCCCTCTCTGCCCACAGCACTCTACAATCGCCCGCCCCCTCCCCCGCCAAGGTGAGGCTAGAGAGGCTCCCTGGGGCGTAAGCTCAG